ACCCAGTTTGTTCGACTATTAGAGCTTTCTAGTGATTGTCATATCTTGAATAATATATATATATATATATATATATATATATATATATATATATATAACTATAAAGTTTGACAATCATTTCATTAAAAGGTGACCTTTTGGGTGACGTCAATAATTATTATCACTATTATTCTCGTGATGACTTAGAAATTGGTTTCATAATTAATATTAAAGTTATTAACTTATTACTGATATTACTAAAGTATATCACATGTTCCTTATAGTTGATTACGTCAGGATCTATTTATGATTATGTTCTTATATAAACTGAAATCGTTGGATTACGGACAGAAATTCTAAGTATTATATACCGGCAGATAAATTTACTGAACGTGACACAAAACTACATTAGCAAAACATTTTATTTATAAAAATTGTTTATGTGGAAAATTTCAAGCGCACTAAATGAAATATATTCAATTGAGTCTATCTTGTATGAACATCGACGAATTTTTAGACTTTTCATTTCATATATTCTTCATGTTGCCTAAACCTAAATATCCGCAGCCCAATATTAATAAAAGTTTAATAAAATAGTTTTAAAAGAAAAATTCATTTCTCCAGTTGAAATCAAAACATACACTTTTTTGTGTATACTACTCAATAACTATCAAGTAGTTGCGATAGATGGTAGCTAGCAATGGACTCGCGTTTCGTCCTACCTCGGACTCGTCAAGTGGATGTTAATGCTCACTCCGGTGCTCCGACCCAGTGCCGCCCGTTTCAAACGCCATCACGTTATCCACCTAGCTAGTGAATCCAGATAGACACTGGCTTGTGCAATGGGGAGAATTTTAAATTCATTTTTGTATTGGTTGTTTGGGTCTTACCATTGATGTATAAGACTGCAATTGATCAGTCTCATGTTGGCATGTGTGCATCCTGGAAAGAAATACTACTGAAGGTTCTCGTTATTCGTAAGAACCATTTATCGTTGACGAATTTACTCTCAATTCTGCAATACTTACAAAATTATAGTTGTTTATTAATAAATAATTGTTAGACTAATAATTCATTACACTGTTGCCCTGATTAAGTGTTTTACGATACCACAAAGGATATAAAGACTTATATTCTTGGTTATTTTCACTCATTATTAATGTGTATATAATATCGATCCAACAAACCGACTCATTCATAGAGTAGTAAACTTATTTGCTCGGTAATTATGAAACACGTCTTGTAACTCATTAAATAAACATAATCTTTACTTACTGATAAAATGCTGACAATTCGCATGACTATATTTTATACACAACTTGAATAGCCATTATCTGAATTTCTGAAGACTTTCTGGGAATTTATTATTGATTAGTCGTGATAGAAAGGATTACCAAGTTTGGCTTCTTAAAAGAATCCATTCGAGAAATTAATACTTTTCATAAAAATTTCAGTATCAATTTACCTGCATTGGAAATTTAACAGACCATTTACAATGCTTTTAGTGAAAATACCAAGTGAGATTAAAGATATGTATTTTTTTCTACGCATCAGTTGTATAAATAAATATCCGTGCTAGTTACCTCGTTGAGATTGTACTGCGAATGTAACATGCAAACTTCAAGATATAAAGTGATATAGCAATATGATATGTTATGAAAACAATTACAAAACCTTCACCGATTTACATTATCAGTTTAATACAAATCGATAGGCAATGATAAGATAATAAAAACGTACACGTTCCAAACAGGCAGGACTTCTAAGTTACTCTTTAGTGGCCCGTGGATCTGACTCCAAGATCTTACGAATGTTTGTTATCGCCTATTCTCGTATATAATCGTCGACTTAAATCGCGTCAGTCGATAACGGAATTAAATAAGTCGAATAACGAGAATTGACTTGTGAATACATATATTTTGTACATGAAGCAAATGAAACAGCAAAGCAAAATGACACGTATGGAAGATGGCTGGGAAGCCAACTCCCTTTTTAGTCAAGCGTTATTCAATATTTATAGTCAGACAAAATAAAGTACAGACATGTGATTAATGGGATAAGAAGGGCACACACATATACACTCATATAAAAACAGTCAAGACTGATAAGCGAATAATTGACAGGGTCAAAATATGACTCAAGTAGAACGAATAAAATGGGATGTCCGAAAGCTAGAATAAGGTATATGGGCTTGGCATAATAACTGACACTACAACTCTCAGACGGCTGATTTACCAATATTAATATTTTCAGTGGAATGATTTTTTTTTACTAACCTGTAAAGCATCTGGATTATCTCATCAAAACTCCAGCTGATTATCTTTGATTTCATTGTTTTCGGTATGGATATTCATTTAAATCATTTGGCACATACTTCCTACATATTATTTTTAAATACAGGGAAGTAAATTCTTAATGATAATACTCCCTTTCGTGTTTACAGAGTGGATTTAATTATTAATACCAATAACATGTATTAATTATTCTGAATTTTCTGAAGATTTTGCTTTTCATTAATGTTTATTTTCATTTGCTTAAAATTTAAAGAATTCAGATATTCCTACTTATCAAAGAATGTGGAATTTCATGAATCAGAATAAATCATTGTTTGTTAATAAAACGGAAGAAGGTATTACACGTGTTCTTGAAGGTGGTTATGCTTTGATATTGGAATCGACACTTAATGAATATTATGCTCAACGTAATTGCAAACTTACTCCTCTTGGTGGATTATTAGATCCAAGAGGATATGGAATCGGATTACCAATAGGCAGTAAGTGAATACTACTTACTAGAATTAACAAGAAATTATCTATATATTTCTGGTTACAATTTTTAAAAAATATACTAAGCCAATCAAGCGATAATTGGCACTAAATAACAAACACACAATATCGCAGATTAACTGGAATGATTAAATCTGGACTGTTACATTCTAACTCAGAGGTTATACTGTATATTGCTTGTGACGTGATTTGAACTTGTGGGACTGTATGTTCCACGGAGTTCTAAACTTTACTAAAACAACTGTCCATTGTTTCCCTGCTTTCAGTTGTGCCAAACTTGATTTCATCTCATCAGGAAACTATCTTCCAACAGATAAATACTTGATTTATATGTCTCACGAATGATAACATAATCATCAATATCAAAATTGGATTTAGTAATGTAATTTGATTGATTATTGAATTTTACAATCTAACTGAAACTAAACTATGGGTATCTTGATTTCTAGCTGATGGTTAATAACAATGGTACAGAATTATTAACAATAATCAGTTATAAAATTTATTTTTTGGTGTAAAAATAAAGTGATCTCTGATAATTTTGAAGGCTATTTCAACAAATGTCTATATCAATCAAATAATCACTGAATATTAATGTGTACTATGGACTGCTCTTAGTCACAAACTTTGAGTCCCAATAGCATTTGAACAATCTCATATTAAATTAAATATAATTACCATTGTTGGTATTTCTAGTCTATATGAAACAAAATTATTAAAAAGGCATTTCCAAGTGCCCATCCCTACATAAATATTTGTGAAATAGTACTCAGTCAACAATCTGCTTTACTCTTGTTCATCTCTTTTTTAGATAACGGTCTGAGAGATTTATTATCTGAAAGCATATTAAAATTGCAGAAAGACCAAACTTTGGAGAAAATGCGGCAATACTGGTTACAACGTTACAATGCGTCAGTTCCATGTTATTTACAAAGTTCTCATACAAATTTGCCATCAAGAAGTAAATTGACACTTGCAAAAATGTCCAGTGCTTTTATTGGTTTAGGTGTTGGCTTATTTTTTGGCATACTTGTTTGGATTACAGAAATTGTAGTTTGGGTATTAAAAGTTCGAATAAACAGAAATGTAAGTCATTTTATTCCCCAGAAAGAAAAAATAGTTTCGGAATTATTTGCTTCTATATCGAATTATTAACATGTTTGAACTGTAACTAGCGGTGGAATTCAGGACATGCAATTTGTCGTATTAACACTGAATAGTTGCGGATAAATTCCGCTAATGAGTCCTCATGTAACAAAAAAGCCAATATCATGGCATCCACCGAGGATGCATATATGCCAAAAGAAACTGATCACTTGTAGTCTTTAATATCTACAATGGGATATATTTAGACATCATCTAGGGAATGATGATGATAATGATGCACTAAAATCAGTGACAAGAATCTTTGTAAATTAGTAATGGGTCAAATTATGAAACTAACTTTAACATTTCAGTTTTCTTGAAAAGACATATCTAATAACCATCCGATGGTAATCATAATAATTCTACTTATGTACATCATTTAAAATTGACTTTTTTCAGTTTTTCACTGAATATTAATCCCTAATTTATGTGAATACTTAGCTTAGACATTTAATCAACTCCTCATTTTCGTATATGACCACTGTAAAGCCACAATAAATTGTACTAAAGTCCTTCAGAACATGAGTGTCAGTATTATATAGAATTATGTTTATGATAATATCGCATTCTCTGTTACGCTATGCGAAACTCCTATGTCAAACGAAGCACAATGAACTACAATCAGTGAAAACACCTTATGAAAAAGTAAAGATATCTATTAATTTTTTTCAAAAGTGAATGATGCCTAGAAAGAAAGTAAAAGTAAAAAACAACGTAACTCATCAATTCCATAAGCATTACTGTAATTTAAAATAATTGAATCTATGACGGGTATTAACATGAAGCAGTATGCTGATTCTAGGGGACTGATTATTGTTAAAAAACCAAAACGTAAGTACGCCGTCTCAGTGGACCTTGCTTGTATAATTATAGCCTTGAATTATGGGAAAGATAATATTTGGAGTCTTGTTACTAAAACAGTTCATAAACAAAATCCCTTAGTGATGTTCTGCTTATTATGAATATGGTAATACCTTTGATACTCTCCTACATCAGCTGTTTTAGTAGCATAACATGTAATAAATATTTAGTTATTCTAGTTTGATATCTAATGCTTCTGAAATTATAATTCAAAACCAAACATCAATATCAAACCACTAGTTTTCTTCAGAAATTTCCATACAACAAAACTTAACTACAAATAAGTAGTGGCACGTCTAACTATTCAAAACGAAGTAGGTAACGCACACTGAAATACATATTGTACTTACTACATTTATAAAAATGAAAATAAGGAATACAATAGTGAAAATGTCAACTACAATGGATAAATCAAAACAACAATGAGGAAGACAAAAGTACATGTATCATTATATTGAAGTCAAATTATTATGGAAGGTTTACAATACTCATAAGAACTGAATTAAGCTATTGCCTTATGTAGAGATGAATTAGTAGAATAATTTGGGATAATCAACTTCAAGCCATCACTATAACATGAACTTGTAACATGTAATCTACTGGATCGCAGCTTCAATTGTTATGACTAATATACTTATTTACGCTGAGAGTAGAACATTTTACAAGATGACAGTCTCAATAATTCACCAGTCGATGTCACTTTGTAGTATAATAAAAAGTATTAATCTTCGCTACGCCATCATAGGTATTTCTCATCAACTGATCAGTTCATACTATTTTAGCCGTGATAACTTCACCAGAACCGCTGGATATCAACAAGCCAGATGCGAAGTTTGAGAGAGATTTTATTCCAGGCATAACTAAAAAGCAGATCAAATTTGAAACGAGCAGAAAAAGTATGCAGATTCATTTCACATGGGATAACTTAATAATCCTTCAGTTTAACGAAATGTTCAAGGTATACGGAACCAGGCTATTACACTATATCTAGATATCAAATAAACCGGTCACTTTAATTAATCTTAATTCAATTCATCAAGTAAATTACCTGAAGAACAGTATTTGGTTTGATTAAAATCACTTTTTACCAGTAATATAAAATTCTAACATAATCAATAGCCTATTTCGATACCATATGATAAATTGTTCACACACACTCGTTTATTATGTTTTTATTTACTAATACTTCCCATTCATACATTTAAATATTAAATTTGCTTTCTATTTTGTAGCAATCTACTATCAATGAAATCGGGGAACATTTCCAAAAAACATTATGTCATCACCGGACAAAAAGTGAAGAAATAATAACAACATCCCGTCTTAATTCAATAGATGAATCCTTATTAACAAAATGTAAAGAAATATGTAAAATGAACCATACAAACCCTAGTGGAATGACAACTTATAACATAAACAGTGGTGATCAATTGAATAATACTTCTACAACATTTCACAAAGTCACATCATTGTAATTGGATTGTATTAGGGATATTTTTTTAGTGAAAAGATAAAACGAGTGCATAGACGATAAGCGGGAATGTAAACAATGATAGCACTAAGAGGAGTTGAACATGCTACACTAAGATGACCTTGAGAGACTATAGTTAGAAATTTTCTATAATAGAATAACCAGGACGTTTTTTTTATATATACTTCTATGTATTGTTGCCCTATCATGCAAATTTGTATAGACTCTAGAAATTAAACTTATTCAATGCTTTAAGGTGATGGCTTTAGTGATGCCTGGAAATGCATTGATTAAGTAGTTGTGTTTATCATGAGCGGTTAGATTTAAGATGTTAACTTATTTCTCAAATCGACCCTTCTTCGAATACATATGATTCTGGTATAAATGTATGCACCGATTGATCATTCAAAATTGACCATTTGTTCTCTGATTTTCAAGCTACCACTTTCAGACGTCAATTTTTAGATACTATCTTTACATGGTTTTTCCCGTTTCATTTTTCTTATTGAATCAATTGTACATTTTGCCGAATACCTTAACTTTGATATTGTCATATATGAGCATATTTTTACTTATAAACTAGATAAGTAGTTTTAAATTGACGTTTAAATGAACAGATTTAGAGCAATAATAATATCAATAGAAACCTCGTTTGTCAGTCATTGTGTGATCACTTTTATTACTCTTTTCTTCACGTTATTTATTTTAGATGGAATATTAAAATCATCAAAGTACCTGTGAAATCATAGGACGAATAAAATATGTATTTTGGGTAGCTATGAAATTCAAGACATGCGTCTCGCCTTATTCGGGGATCCACCAGTCCTTAGCATCAACAACAGGATAAATCTAACCCATGCCAACAGTGATATACAATATCTTTTGTTAGTAGATTTTAGGTTTGTTTAGAGATTATCATGATCGCCTTACCTGAGTGAACACAGAAAGGGCAATCTAACATTGAGTACAGTAAAAGAACAATAAGTGAGGTAAAATAACATGAATTCATTTTGTTGTCATCAGTTATTTACATAGGTAGAATTAACGAAACATATGACTTGAACTACAAACCTACAAAATTATTGGTCTAATGATGCAATAATTAAGTTTATTTCTACTATTTATAACAAGAATACATTCAACAATTATTTGTACTGATGGATGGTGAACTGATTGTTGGAAATTATATAATTTATTCAAATATCTGTATTCGTTGTCGATAGTATTGAGTTCTCTGAACTAGGTTCTCATCAACTCACTACAATCTATAATATTCGAAAATCAAAATTGTAATGTAGCTTGGAAATTATTATGGTAAATATCTGAATAAGGTTAAAAGATGGAATAAAATATTACGATGTCGTATGGAGGATACTCGAGAACAAACCAAAGGGGCTAGAAATAAGTGATTATGTAGTGAACAAAATCTCAAAAGAATAATAAAATAAATGAAGCTAAGTCAGTTTGAAGTAAACCTATCGAAAGAGAATCAGGAAATGATGCGAGGAAGTGACCAAAAAAGGGACGTTAAAAATCTGACCTAACCATGTAAGTTACGTTACATGGGTTACCCTGACGCTTGTTTTTGAACACGAGTCAATTTTTTATGCTTGATAGCAGAAGCTTGAGGAGATTTTAGTAGACTAGAGTTTGGTTGCCTACTAACCAATTTGGAATATCACATAAAGTCCACCTGATGTCTCGTACCCGAGAAACGCTTAGAAATTACTGTACACCTTTATTTTTATTGAACGAAGACTTCTCGGGATATGATCTGAAGACTCTTCTAAAGAAAATAATGCCTCTTAGAGAAATTTCCAGGAGCCTCTCAGATGCAGTACACCAAGTGAAACCGTAATGCCAATACAGACATAATCGTTGCTAAAATGAAAGAAGTATCTGTCAACTCTTGATTGCACATGCTTTACACAAGATTATAAGTTTGGCTTCGGGGTAGATTTTATAGCATCCAATGCTAAGTCTTCTGCCAAATTTCTTGGCAAAATTTTGACTGATCGAAACTCAGTTGGATAAAGGCGGCCCCTTCCAATGACTAGCTTCTTTCGGATGGTCTTTAATTTTTTTATATCTAACAATAAACCCTATATCCGGGATTTTCGAAACAGAGTATGCGAGAAATTTCGCAAAACTGTAGACGACATTTTTGAAAGAACAATTATATGGTTTTTGAGTAACAATTAAAATTTTTTATAACCTATTGAGTTTAGAATTAAACAAAATAGAGAATGAAGCTGCATATGGATTCAAGTTTCATATTCTATAAGACTATTGATAAAATGGATGCTAGAGCTCAATAAGCACTCTTTGACAGGTTGAAGGACTGGAATTCAGTAAATGAGAACAATAAGGGTTGGTTTCAATATAAATTAGTCGATATTGGTAACCAGTAATTTACCTCACCCACTTCAGACTTGAGAATACTGTCTAATGAACACGAAATTTGATTGCCACACTTACAAAACAAAGACAAGATAATAATATTGCAGCCAAATAAAGGTTACCAAAATTTAATCCATTTTAAATGACTAGCATAGACAAATATAGCAAACTTGACTAATTCAAAGGAGAAACGAATCACTGACAACTCTATGTATAGTTATTAAAGGCCTAAGTGGTTTTATTTGCCATACATGTGTGATCTATCAAAGACACACATATCGAACATCCCACTCAGACCTATATAACTAATGATTAATTCAGCATAACAGAAGATAGCCCACTATCTAGCAGATATGTGAGAATCATTTCATCAACAACTAACTGTATACACCTTGAAGAGTGCTATTTGGTCTGTTGAGAGATTGGATAACATTAGCATCTCTAGTAAATTAATTACTTTCTTTGCTATAATATCCCTTTTTTACCAAAATAACTCTTCTTGAAACCACTGACGTTAATTGTGATAATTCTGAACTTTTGTATTTATCAGTAACAAAGTTCAAATAATTGCTACTTATATCCATGTAAAATGGTCACTTTTACCGACGCGCTGTATAAAATCTTAATAAAATATATAGAGTTAAATATACGGAAAATATTTCTAATTCTACTTTTAATGGTAACAGTAGGAAGTTGTTTCAGTGAACGAAGATTAGTCAAATTAGCTACACAAATTTTTCATATACCAAGTAATTAAATTTAGGAAGTAAAATAAAAGAAATCCATCCATCAATATAGACTAACTACTAAAGGTAAATAATATTGTAGTTTATATTTGACTGAAAATGAACAGATTACACAATAAAAGAGTAGTAATCCACTATACATATGTGAACATATAAACATACGAAGTGTTAGTCTTTGTATGCATTCATTTTTTCTGTAATACTTTGTACTATCTCCTGTACTGGTTTAACTTGTCCATAATAGTCGGAGAATTGTCCTTTCGGATCCAGTAAGTACATTATAACAGTGTGGTCAACCTATCGATATTAAATGTGAACAAATCATAAATATAATTTAAAGTAATATTATGGTGTAGGTTACTTATATCCATATAGGTGGTATATAACAGTGGTCAGGCAGAAGATCGATAAGGAAAGAACGAAACGGAACGCAATTGGTATGAAAAAACATGGACAATGAAATCTGAGACAATGGATTGATATTTGCAAAAGGAACAGTGAAGTTTGAAACGATGGATTGATATTATAGCACCTCACGTGCAATTGAGTTTGTTCTCATTTAATTCGGTTAAGCTCTTTTGTTAACTTATTTAGCGGACAGAGTCATCCGTACTATAACAACTTGTTGTGCCTTTATTATTGTTGTGCTTGTGTGAAATAGGTATGCTTGAACATTGCTTACCGCCTACGCATACATTCATTCTGCTAGCATTATTATTAGCTGCTTAACTGATCCGATGATCCATTCGTTTCCCTATATATATACATGTACATTTAAACCTACACGCTCTACACTCTCAATTCGCTGACTCACTCACTTTGCCTCTCTGCTTTGTGGTCTGAGTTATTTGCTAATAAAACTGTAGTCGCTGCTTCTCTTTGTCTTCTGATTTCAAACACCGTTGAGGACTATATGGTAACGGTTACGAGGGTGATTGGTTAACGAAGCACAGCCACTACAATATTTTGAAATTAACTATTTACTATATGGTTCTCAGATTTTAGTGAGATGCTCTGTAATTTCGTGTCAAGTACATTCGATTGTCCCCACTAGTGTTATTGTTCACTACAGTATCTTGAATCTGTAAAAAAAACACTAAGAGCTTGAAAGCCAGCTCCAGAAATTTTTATTGATCATTTGTCCAGTGTATCAAAGATTAATTCTTGATGTTCGTATTTACTGATAAGCGCACATGAGCTATTCCCATATCGTTAGTTGATTCATATAAGAAAATAAAGCATTCAAACGGACACATAGTAGAATCCACTTTTTCCACTTAAATAGTAATTTGTTTGCAGGTACAAAACTCGTGGTAATTTAAAACAATCTTATTATTCAACAGACTTGCTTAAGAATAGTCTAAATAGAAAAGTTTTGAATAGACATGAACTACACAGAACACGTACCATCGAAAGGGTGAATGAATTCGATGAGATGCAACAGAGTTTCTATCATTTCTTCTACATGCATAACGATATGACATACACATCTTTCACATACACAGACATCAAGAAAATCAATCGAAGTTGTGGTTTAGTGGTTGAAAACCTCTACTTTCAACCAATAGGTCATACGGTAACTCAACAATGAGAACACAAAATTGAGGGAATTAATTATTTAGCTTAAAATTTAATTCAATCAATTTGACAGACGAACAAGTATTCATTTCTTTATTCTTTCATTTATTTGTTTATTTGAACATATAAATATTGGTACGAGGGGGCACCAAATATATATGCGCCAAACAATAAAAATGAAATTGTGAAGAGATGGGGAATGGAAGGCGAGCATATTAAAAAATGGAAATCAACAATGAACGAAAATTATTGTATGAGAGTGAAATTATGATTGTCATTATTATCATTATTATGAAAAGAGCAGTTCAGTTAGGTAAAATACAACCAGAAAGAATTCCTTCAGTTAAAGTTGCGTTGACTTTTATGAAGAAAGTAAAGGAAAGTTACAGCAGGTTCGCCACTGGCTTTTACTCTGAATTATTTCTGATAGTTTCAAGCCACTACGTTGTAACATCTTCAGGAACCCACCAGGGAATATTGAAGGGTAAACAGAACCCAGTCCTGTACAGCTTTCTTTCATATCACGACACCATGACGTGCACTAACCACCTCTCCGCTTTTTTCAACCGGTCTTAGCGTCAGCAAATAATGTACGGTGTGGAACCACTGAAGTCGGTGTTTCAAGGTGGTGACACCAAATGAATTATGGTCGCTGTGCCCGAACACACAATGTTGAACCTCTGTATTACTAACATAGTGTTGACATTGAATGTCAGCAACCCTTCGGAAACAACGATGATAACATCCTTAACTCAGAGAAGTCAGGTTTCACAAGCGTTGAGAAAAACTGCTCTCACCGTCGCGTTATAGATCCGACCTTTAAAAACCAGACTAATATCATGAAGGCGGTCCGCATTGACATAAGCCTCTCTGGCTTACGTTATACGTGAATTGATCTGCTCACTCATGCCACTACCAGCACTTACACATCCACCTAAATACACGAACTTCTCGACTACTTCTATCTGCACACTACTCAGGGTGAGTACAGGACCCTGGCCCTGCACTTAGAAGATGCAAAGCACATACCATACCTACGGACACTTATTGCTAACTGGTTATCGCACAGTAAGACAATATCATCCGCATACTCAAGATCGAAATGTCTTTCTCCAGGCAACGGGTCCATACTATCATTATCTACATCCATCAGGGCTGTTTCCAGAACGTCATCGCTAACAAAGTTGAAGAAAAACGGTGAAATTAGACAACCCTGCCTAACCCAACTGTTTGAATGGAACAATGGAGAGGTGGTTGTATGCCATAACTCTGTCTGAGATGCCAGCATATAAAGCCTTAAAGACGTTAATAAATTTTTCAGGCACACCCTTCTTCAATAGACCATCCCAGGGAACACGTCTGTCCGACGAATCGAAAGCGGCACTGATGTCAAGAAACACTATGATTGTTGGCCTGTAATAGGTAAGACGTTCTACAATTTAGTGTGGGTGGTGAAATTGTGACCAATACATCCTCCATGGGAACGAAAACCAGCCTGCTCCCCGCGAGTCAATCTTACTCGGGTTCGGAAAATCTAAGAAGTTTGTGATGTAAACAGGGAAACAAGAAGCCCTGACAAACTACGAAAGCTATTTTTCGGGACGTTATTTCATTTTATTCAAAGCTTGTAAAACACTGAAATTTATTTTTGTCCCTATTTTATTCTACAGAACATGAGCTTTCGTTCGATGTATCATTCACTGCCATACCCCTTTTTGTTCCGAAGCTATTGTAATTTAAAAATAATATTTTGCATTTTATTTTCTACTCTAATTCCCAGTTTTGGACATAATTGTGTTTTCCCAAATTATTGTACGTTGTGGTCGGGTAAATCACCTATTTATTCATGTACCTTTTTGCACTAATCTGAATTCAGAGAATTTACAGGAAAGCAGTATATCGGAATAAAGCGAATAGTGTTCCAGTTGTCTTGTCTTCTTTCATTACCGTGCTTGTCAGCCAATCATGTGACAGAATAGTTTTCTTCTCTCTACCCCGCCTCGAACTCACGCGTACTAACCTCAAGGTTAAAGCGGTCAGCCTATTGCGTCGAGGTCTTAATCTATAGTAGACAGATCAAAGTCATAACACTTTGGATGCAATCGGAAGTAGACTTATCCACCGATAATTGATGTAAAGATGATGCGAACCCTTTTTAAAGATAGGGACAACTATCAACTCATCCCACGACGTTGGAACACTCTAATTGCCAGACACTTGTAAATAACTCAGTTCATTGACCAGGTCTCCACCATTTTTAGAAAGGTTGTATCTTTTCATTTCTGCAGCAATTTGGATGACTCTCTCGGTTTCCCATATTGTACGAGCATTCCATGTGCCTAAATTAATCGTTGTTCCGGTTGTCGGAAGGGACATTAGCCTTGTGACTTCCAAAGGAACTCAGGTCCCACCATGAGGCGTCATAACTTTTCCAAATGAAGACCTTCTAACTCCCGTGGCAGAGTTTAAATGGCTTGAATTATTTCTTCTGGTTAGCGGTTTTTAGCGAGTTAGTTTTCTAAAGGCAGGAAAGTCTGGTCGATGTCACCGAGGTAGCGGACCAGTTGAACTTCTTGAAAAACTCTGCCCATCGTCCAAGACGTCGGCAGCAGTTATTGTTCGGCATCTCATCAGCTTCACAAATTTTTTTCACGCACGTCAGACTTCTTGCTGCTAGCGATTTGAACGATTTGAAAGCCACTCAACACCCAAAACCCAAACACCACAATTTCATAAAACCAAAACCATTTAGCAATACTTTAAACACTAATTCATCATATATGCTACTCGTAACACGCATTCAATGTACTGAATAACCACTAAACACCAAAAAAACTCACAATATAATCGCCATCTGCATCTTTTGGTCCTGCACTGTAATAAATACGATAGAGCTTAGAAACTTTATCAATTTCTTCTTTGGTACCGGTCAGCCCGATCAGATGTGGTGAAAATTCTACAGCCAAAAACGAGAAAGAAAACATAATTTTATCATTAAAATGAGATCTTACCACTTACAATAAAAACATTTAATTAATCCCATTATTATCTGGTTGACCCAGTTACAGAACTTACTATAGCCAATTATACAGTGACTCTGCTATTACCTAATGTACACATAAAAAACAATATGTTGACACTGCATATAAAATTGTAGGGATTTAAAATAGGAGTCAGTGAGTTACACTTGATGAAAGTATTGCATAGAGTAATACGTACGAATTTAGGCAATACTAGGCACCAGATATCATGACCAATACTCACCAAATAAGATAATTGCTTTTCGGGTTCCCCTTGTACAATAGCTCAAGTGAAAATATTGGTTGTAAGAGATTGCAATCAATCAAGACTCTCGACAGTATTAGAATTATTGTGCTGACAGTAGTGAACAAATCATTTTCACTGGCTTTTTATGTCATGAAAATTTTGGTACAACACGACACCGAAAAGTATATTATACAGGGTGTACCACACTAAACGCTTATCATTTGCACATTTTCGTACAAAAAAGTAAAAACAATAATATCCCTCAAGTGCTTGGCTTAAAACCACTCAAAATCATTGGTTGAAGACATGAATAAGATTATGATTTCACTTAATGCACTAGAAATAAATAAATTCATCTAATGATTTGTCTCTGATTAAATACTATTAACTGTGGTACTTCGAACGCTAACCTTTTTGAACAAATGAGCTGTTTTCAGGTTTTATATAGTTTTTTTTATTTATCTTCACTCCTGATACAGTGAATAAGTGAATGTAAATAGTTACGAATCGCTTTTAGATAGGAAAAATGATGGTTAAAATTTCATTTTTTTTTTCATGATTGGAATTTGGCTGACAATTTGCTATATTTAATAATATAATACGAAATGCTAGACTTTGGATAGTTAAAATTAATCTGCATACTCAAGTATTATAACTGTTCATATTCACCAGTAAGATTTATATGTAATCTTGGACTTCATAAGTGACCGAGGATTTTATCATACACTACTACAACAAGTGTTACCACTGAACGGCTTAAGATATTACAGCGAAAATAAATATCCTGCGAAATGACACGAGTTCTGTAAAATTAACAACCCTTTGATTATTGCTAAACAGTACATTAAAATACAAGAAATATAAGATGAAAACTTATTACCTTTAACGTATTTAGCTAAAATATCTGGGGTATCACGTTCGCTGTCGACAGACATGAATACAGGCACTAAGGGATACTTGGGTTTTTCAATAAGCACTGTAAGAAAAAGCATATTTGTGATGTTTAAAGAACTGGTAGTATTAAAATATGGGATGGGTCGATGGTTTATAAAACTGAAAAACTAGGTTTCACAATGAGTGCAACAACCACTACCTTAATTCAAGTTTTTACAGAAAGGAAAGTTTTGATGAAAACTAAAAAATGATGCTCATCTAAATGTTTTTAGTTTTTCATATTTCTCCAACTGATGTCTAAAAACTTAAGTGTAAAGCTGCCAAATGGTTTGACTTGGTATTTTTTATACGTACGAGACGAGATAATTAGATTAGCCTATTGTGTTATTGAATAAAAAGAGAATCCAGTGAAAAAAATTTTTTTTCTTCATGTCTGTTTAGTGGACAATTGTCGCCCATATTCCTAACCTGCAAATTATTTTCATCATCAGATGAAGATTTGTAGCTCATTTGGATTATTTAGGTGAGGTTTGATGTCGGACGCTTTTAGTATTCCCTCTATCTAAGATCTCAACATCTTTGCTTATATCAAAGCATGTGGACAACTGTGGACACACATCTAAGAAGTTTTAAAAGCTTGACGCTTAGGTCTATCAGTAAATAACAAACACATTGAAATCGATCCAATCTGTTAACCAATCAGGAGAATCATGGACAAATATAGGATCAAGAATCAAATCAAAGGTAGATACAATCAAAATAAACAGGAAGGCAATGACAAGTTAAAGGTCAACAATAACCAATCAGGACCGAGACCGACAGGATAAGCTGTGTCATACGTAAAGAAGTTCAAATAATTCATTTTTACTTGAAGTTTGTGCTGACGCTGTTCAAAAGAACAATCGAAGCTGCATGGCCAAACCATCCAGCTCAAACAACAAAACTCCAACTATTTTCATCCTCCTATTCTTCTCTAACCCCTTGATTATTAGGCAACATTTTAACATTTGAAATCTAGGATCACTTTATAATGTAATCACTCTATCTTTCTATAGACATACATATCAAGCAACTATAAATACGAATATACAGCTTAAGTGTTATGTTTGAAGCGCCTACGAGTTCACCTAGTCCGCGAACGGAACAAGACTCTGTGACCAAAGACCAATACGCTAACTATTCTGATCCGTCCCAGCTCCGCTAACTAGAGAGAGAAGTCCAAGTTCGAACACGGAAATATATTTCGCAAGCAGCCAGAAGCACGAGCAATCACAAGTCTAGTCGGAAATACACTCATTTATATATTAGTTTGTACACCCATTTTTTTACTAATAATCAGAATAAAATCACATATATGAAAAATACTTAGTTAACAAACTATATGCTGAGTATAATTCATGTTAACTTAATACAAGAATGTCGTATGTTAGACAGAATAAAATATCATAAGGGAAAACGAAACAAATACTATACTGAATGATCATTAAATTGAATTAAACGGAATCAAAGTTGAATAAAAATCATAATGAGTAAATTAATCTAATATTGACTTTTCATCACGTCATAACATTAAGCAAATGATTTTGTTGAATAGGATGATACTTACACTAAAACAATTGCGTCCAATTTCCACAAAACAGAAATGTTTTGTAATCATAGCTTAATAGATAATTAAGTGATTTGAACAACAATATACCACACAAGAATGAAGATAATTTGGTGGATAGATAGTCTATCATCCTCGAGTAAGACAATGTCACCAGTATTGCCATAAAATAAGTACCTTAAAAAGCGATATTATTTAGTCTTTACGAAAATAAGAAATGATTACAATCACTTTACCATAGCAATGCAAAAATAACATTTCAAATAAATGAACCTTTTTGAGTAGACCTAAAATCCCGAAATACGTTTTGGTTGAAGTATGAAAAACTTAAGGAAAATATGAGACCTATTGACTCAATGTGGTGCCGAAGTAAACCATAATAATAATGAAATCAGCTGTTAAGACCATAGAACTACACTAGACAAGATTGCAAAGTTACATACTAAGCAAAAAAGATGGTCACATTTAATAAAATTACTTAAACATTTCTTTAGCTTACTTATTCTGTCAGATACTTCCACAAGTCTCTCTATTTGTTCTGGGCATATATCTGGACATCGGCAGAACCCAAAGTACAACAGAACCCATTTTCCGCGGAAATCAGCTAATTTACATGGGTTTCCATTATGGTCAACCAAATTGAAGTCGCCACCGATAGATGGCAGACCATATTTTTGTTCTGATATTTTTTTGGCTAAAATGTTAGGAACAATAAGGTGAACGTTCGCGACAGTTGATTGTGATTTTTAATTATCATTCAACAATTTAAAAATATTCAGAAAAATCAACACGTAAGTTCTGAGAAATTGGCAGATGGAACCCATAAACATGGTTATTCACAAATCAGGTTAAAAATATTCTCAACACGATGCTGAGTTACATTTATAAGAAATAAAAATATTTAATTAACTATGTGAAGACCAAATTAGTATGAGAAATAGGTAGTGGACGGAAAGATGAGTAGAGAGTTACTTATCATCAGCTAAAGCTGTATAATGGTGTTTTATTAGCTTAAGCAACCAATTTCCAACATATTAGTTGGAGGCTCTAATTCTGTCCCCCTTCCAGATGGGTAGTCGGTTAGTATCGTTAGTTCTCATTATAAGTGGGGTTAGAGTACCCGCCAAATACACTTAAACAGTTATACACTGCAACTAGTAGCATATGAAACTGATGAACTATTCACAGTAATTTAATAAGTTATAACCAAACTTGATTAACCCGGACTACGCCAAAAGTTTTATATTCACCTGCATACAATGAATTCAAGAGTTGGTAGTCCAAATTTGAGCATCACCTGCAAGGTGCTGAAACAAATAACTTTGTTTACTAAAACCAACATTGTCAACTCTATACATTAAGCTACTCACCTTAAACAAAACCTGATTAATTGTCAAGACTTTTCACCCTATAGTTTCATCCTGAATAAACGTTTATAAAATAATGTATCAACCACCCAAAATATATTCACTACTTATTATTTATTTGAATATAAATATTGGTACAAAGCGGTACTAAAATACATATGCGCCACAAAAATCAGTGGATGTGTGGCCCGGAATACTGTTTGGGTGCCAAAACTAAGGCAGGTAGTTTTTCTAAGGGGCCACACCCAGAGCCTTCGACCTAAATGTCTAATCTACAGGGCAATGGAACAACGCTAGGAGGTGCGGACTCATAGTAGCCGGTGACCAAGAGTGGGGTCAGTCACCATTTGCATCCTTAGGATCCTGGAGCCCATTTGCACCACTAGTTTGAAATCAGGGTTTTCCAACACTCTAAGGTGCGTCTTCCGAAACCATAAACCAGATATTCGCACTTCAAGTCATTCACCCGCTACGGCAACGCCATGTGACTGTTAACATAACGACATTGGGAACTAAACAAGAGGTAAGATAATAAAAAGCCACATATGTTTACTCTGCACCCGATGACATTATATAGCAGTGGGTGAAATGAATGAATGACAAAACAAAAATTTCAATTAGTATACTTAGATCCACAAAATTAGTCACTAACCTTTTGCAAGGTCTCTTGTCAGTAAGACTGAACCTACAGTAAATGACCCTGCAAGGAAAACGAAAGAGCACCAATGTATGTAACGCATCCTCTGGAAAGTATACACTGATAGGATGAAAAAAGGCCTACATCTTCTGGACTAAGGGTTGACCTGAACCTGGCAGGAATGAAGCCTCGAGACAAAAGTTTGCTGAACGCTTTGATCATTCCCATTAATTAAGTTTACCTCGACACCCCCAACGACTTTAAGCAATAAGACAAGACTCGCATATCTTATTGATTCGGATCTTGCGCACAGTGATCACCTTCAGGAGTACGATATCCAATAAGCGTGTGTCGAAGTAATGTAAACTAGCCAATTTCGCCCTATTTGCGTCTTGACATGATAAAGAACCTTCGGGTCTTTTAGTTTTCCAATCTCCCTATTTTTATGAAAATTTCATCCCTTTTGAGAAAATTCGGGGAAATGACATAAAAACCCCAAAATTTCCCTATATATGGGGAATCCCCAAAACTTTGAGGAAGACGATTGGGCTCTGGAGAAAACCATGAAATAGGGAGATTGGGTTGGTCCATAATCATAAGCTACCAATTTTGAGACAAAGTCGATCGATTTTCGATAATACTTGCGACACCCCTGTAGAAGATTTGGGGTGAACTTTGGGAAAATGAAGTAAAACTGGAAGTTCCTCTGAGCTGCGAATTTTTCCAAAACTTTGCCTGAACTACACGCAAAATGTCACATCGCAGCGTTTCACGATGACCATCTCCAAAATACAAATAGACCATAAAAACAAGAGCAGGTCACAAACGTTCAGACGACCTGGGCAGTTCTGTTGATATCACCAGGAGCCTGGTTCCAAATCAGTCAGTAATGTAGTTAAAATAGACTCTTAGGAATATGAGAGATGAATAACCTCTCTGAAAGTGACGACTGCTGAGGAGGGGTGCCTTGACGGTCGTCGTTTTATGTTGGACAGAAATTCAGGCTTAAACATTTCGGTGGATACCTGTGCTGCACTAAGTATTACGCCTCAGAGCAAAACGGCTGAGCCGAAAAATTCTCTCGGTTAAATTTCAGGCTGACAACAAAACTGAAGTCACGACATCTGAGCAGAAGACGTTGATGCTGGACTTAGGTTCTAAGAAGCAATTTCTCTGGGTGCCAACTGCAGCAGATTTAGGTTCCGCAACGATGGGAATTGACTTTTAGTGATATTGAACCCTAGCCACGCGATCTTTGAAGCTGAGCATATAATTACAGAGAAGATCTTCATTCAATATATTACACTTAGGCAAGTTCACCTCAACAATTGATCGGTACGGCAAGGTTCAGCCTTATGGATGTGGTCGCCATATAACGTAATCCTCTCCATATCAAACATATTATTCTATCCTCAACCTGGACGTAATCCCTCATTGGTCCAGAACATCATACTGCTAATCTTAACGATAACAAGTGTCGGTAAAGACGGTGAGAGTTATTCCACGTAAGATCCTACAGATTAAGTAGTCACATCATGACAAATCTACAATTTGGGGATTAAGTCTGCTATCATAGTAGCGAAAATAAATGTACTTATACCAAACTAGACCATAATTCGGCAATGTTAGTACAATTTTCGCAAGTTAGTTATTCGGGATTGTTAATAGTATTAATAACAATTTATTCTCAAACAACAGTCTGTTACGTGAGGCATGCCAGTTTACAGGTAAGATCAAATCTTTACAGGAGATACAGTCTTCACAGTGGTGGGTTACTCAGTTTGTTCGATGTTTTATAGGGTACATTGATCAAAAAAGTGCTTAGAGACTTCTCAATTTTAGCAGTGGTGTAGAATGGATGTAATTGGTACATATAAGCTTGCTTTTAAATTCGGACAAGTTACTCTAAAGTGTTTAGGCACTGAGTTAATGCAAGACATTGGGGAGGAAGAATATATTTGTGAAATCTCAGAGACTGAATTTTAAGTAGACCTAACGTTTAGCCTGGCAGTATGGTCCAAGCGTTTTCAAGGAGAAATAGCCAGACATGAAAATTATCGAATATAAACAGAAGACTGTATACCAAATAGGTCATCCAATCATGTTTACACTGTTTATATGGTATTTGCTTCAGTGTGTAAGAGACATGTGATGTGTAACAAAAAATGTTAAGATAGTAGATTGTGTGTATTCATGAGAGGCTTGAGATGAAATTTCATTCACTATTCATCACCTCTGACTGGTGAATTTTTTTAATGTTATGTGGATCAATTGTCACAGCATGCATAAAATGAAGATAAGTAAACAAAACAAAAATAATTATTGAATGAATGCTTGTGTTATTTTTGCTGTCCCAACTAATTATCCAAAATATTCAGGTAAGATAGCATTGTTGTTACTCAGATATTAAATGATAGATTGGATGAAATAATGAGTTTGTAGTGGCTGTGCTTCGATAATTAATCACCCTCGAACCGTTATCGTATAATCTTCAACGATGTTTGAAATCAGAAGGCAAAAAGAAGCAGCTACTACAGTTTATTTAGTAGATAATTCGGACCAGACAGCAGAGAGGCAAAATGAATGAGCAAGCGAACTACGATTGTAGCAGTAGCAAGTAGTTGTAGTAGTAGTAGTTGTAGTAGTAGTTGTGAATGGGTGTAAATGTACATATATATATATATATAGGAAAATGGATGAGTCAGCGAATAGATTAAGCAGTTAATAATGAAGCTAGCAGAATGAATACATGCGTAGGCGCTAAACAATGTTCAAGCATATGTATTTCATACAAGCATAATAATAAAGATAGTACAACAAGTTGTTATATCATGGATGACTTTGTCCATTAAATAGGTCAACAAAAGACCTTGACTGAACTAAACTCAATTGCACGTGAGTCGCTATAATAGCTCCCCCCTGCAAACAAAGATATATGGAAAAATGTCTGTGTTTGCACAAAAAATAGTAAACTGAGTAGGGTAGTTACAATCGTTTGAAAAAATGGTTTGTACAAAATTAAGATGAAGTCAGTGAGTGCTGTACATTTCGTTTGCGCCCGTCCGTGAGGTTATAAAAAATAATAGCAATAAATAGAAGGAATGCGGTATTGCTTTACATTTTAAATAAAAATTATACGTGTAAGCGTAGGGGTACATAAGATATGTTGAGTTTTATAGCGTATAACATGAAATTAGTAATGCATGTGTATACAATGAAGTGGAAGTTATAATTAATATTTAAAATAGTAGAAGATTATTAATAGAAGATTGCAGCGACATAACGTTGGGGCCATCTTACTCTTCGACCAGACTTTGTGGTTACTGGATTCTCTTTGTTTGTGTTCGTCGATGTCGTTGATGATTGGAACTCACGTTTCGATGATTCAACGGTTTTCGCAGTATCTGTATGTACTGGCTGATCGTAGGCTTCAATGAAAGCTGGTTTGACTCGGTCGATGCTAATTACATCCATTTTTCCAGCTTTGTCTACCGTAATAGTTTTGTCGTCTCTTTTAATCACCTTAAATGGACCATCGTAGGCCGGTTGTAAGGGACGTTGCACATTATCCCTTCTGATAAACACATGGGTGCTGTCACTTAGTTGTTTGGGTATGTACACACGGCGTTGATGTTGTCTCGGAAGCGTTATCCTTAGACTACTCATATGCTGCTTAAGACGCTGTACATAGTCCGCTATATCAGTTGGAACGCTTTTACCTGCAGTGAAAAACTCTCCTGGCAGACGTAGTGTGGTTCCATAAACCAATTCTGCTGGGCAGCATTCTATATCTTGTTTGATTGTTGATCTTAAGCTCAACATGACTAACGGTAGCTTGCTGGCCCAATCGTTATTGCTGATGACAGCTGTAAGAGAAGCTTTAAGTTGCCGATGCAATCTCTCTACCATACCATTCGACATCGGATGGTAGGATGTTGTGCGAATTCGTTTGATTCCGAGTAGTTCTGTGAGTTGTTGGAAGAGGCGGCTCTCGAATTGAGCTCCTCTATCGGTTGTAATATTAGTAGGTACACCATAATGGGAAATCCAATGCTCTACTAGGGTTTATGCGATAGTTTCGGCTGTAATATCTTTTATGGGCACAGCTACAGGCCATCGTGTGAATCTATCAATGCAAGTGAAAATGTAACTGAAGCCATTCGAAACCGGCAGTGGTCCTATAATATCGATATGTACGTGCTCGAATCTGTTATCGGGATGACGGAAATGACCTACTGCGGAACTGGTGTGGCGATGTATCTTAACTCTCTGGCATTTTATACACGCTTGCGTCCAATTACGAATATCCCGATTCATACTTGGCCATACGAAACGTTCGCTGATTAGTTTGATGGTGGCCTTTATTCCGGGATGCGAAATATTATGCATGGCTTCGAAAATGTTTCGCCTTAGCGGCTTTGGAATAAATGGTCTTGGTTGACCTGTAGAAATATCGCAGGTGATGCTTACTTCTTCCAATGGAGTTTCTTTGAGAACTAACGAGGTTGTGTTGGCAGACTTTAGTCTGTTTAACTCAACGTCAATATTTTGTAATGCTGCTAACTTGTGATAATCGATTTCAGACTGGATGAGAGCGTTGACCATCGTTCTGGATAACGCGTCTGCTACTTCGTTACTGTTACCTTTGATATACTGTATGTTGGACGTGAATTGGGAAATAAATTCTAATTGTCGGATTTCCCTCGGCGAGTAGTTGTCCTGTTTGGCGTTCAATGCTTTTGTGAGGGGTTTATGGTCTGTATATACTGTGAAAATGGTACCCTCAATCATATGTCGGAAATGTTTTATTGCCAAGTAAATCGCTAGGAGTTCTCTTCCGAAAGTACTATATCTTGTTTGTGTCGGATTCAGTCTTTTCGAAAAAAATGCTAGCGGTTCCCATATGCCATTTACTAATTGTTGTAAAACGGCTCCTACCGCTTCGTCTGATGCATCTGTCATGATAGCTAACGGTGTTTCGCTCTTTCGCCTAGTTAGTGTCACTTCTTTATTTAGTGCTTTTTTAGCGTTCTCGAATGCTTGAATCGCGTCTGGTGATAATTGGAATGTCCGTGCGTTTCCGCGTAATGCATCTGTTAGTGGTTGCAATATTGACGCGCAATTAGGGATAAATCGTCTGTAATAATTTATTAACCCGAGAAATCGGCGTAACTTTTTCCATGAGTCGGGTAGGGGATAATTCCTAATGGCGTCGACTTCTGTTTCTATTGGTGTGATGCCTTGAGAAGTTATATTGTGACCTAGGAACTGTAAAGATTCTTTTCCGAATTCACACTTCTCAATATTTATAGAAATGCCATGTTCTCTGAGTCGCATAAA